ATCTATGATGACTCATGTGTTAGTTTTTTAGATATTTGTATTATTATGGATGGTAAAAAAAAAATCACAGATCTTTACCGAAAACCCACTGACCGTAATACACTTTTGCATGGACAGAGCTACCATCCTACAACTCTGAAACATAGCTTGCCTATTAGTCAATTTAATCGGGTACGTCGAAGTCATATACACAACAAAGTACTGATTTGGTTAATAGATACAGGGAGAGAGGTTACAATGACGATTGGATACAATCTGCAGTTAGGAGATTTGAAACTGAAAATCAAGAGACATCTTTAAATAAAAAACGTTTAAAATCAGTAAATAAAACCATTTTAAAATCCAATCCTCTCCTTAGTGATATCTTTGAGAAAACACCTAGGTTTGTGTATAAACGCTCTGCTAATATACGTGATCTCCTTGTAAGAGCTGATGTTAATTCAACTGTAGAACGACCCACTCACTTTTTATCTATTCTGTTGGGTAATTATAGTTGTGGTCATTGTGCCCAGTGTAATTTTACTACAAAAACCAATGTCTTCTCTCATCCTCATTCAGGAAGGGTGTTCAAAATCAAGGGTGTCATCACTTGTACTACTAAAAATGTTATCTACATGATAAAATTACCATGTGGGTTAGCGTATATAGGAAAGACACAACATGCTTTAAAAACTAGGGTAGCAGAACATCGAAGCAGTATACGCACAAATGATAAAAAAAATCCAGTAGCAGTGCATTTTAACTTAAAAAGACATAACCTTTCCACTTTGAGGTATATTGGAATTGAACATGTTAAATTGCCTAGGAGAGGTGGTGATGTCAACAAAATTTTATTAAAAAGAGAAGCTTACTATATTTGTACACTAAATACTCTTTCCCCTAAAGGGATGAATTTAGAACTTGATCTTAACTCATGTTTCTAATTGATATTTTTTGTATTGAAAAGTGAATGTTGCAGCCTCATTTGTGCTCAAATGTGTGTGTTCTATAGTTATGTACTTACAGCTTCTAGGACAATTAATTAATTATACATTATAAAAAGGATGGGGGACTGTTTGGGTCTTGTTTTATGACTATTTGGGGATTTCTTTTGAAAATTACTGTAAAAATACAGTAAAACACTAATTGTCAAATATGATTTTATTTTAGAATAACGGTTTTCTATTTATATATATTTTAAAATGAAATTATGAATTATTCCTGTGATGCTAAGCAGAATTTTCAGCATTATTACATTATTATTATTATTATTATTATTATTATTATTTTTTTTTTTTATATGCTTTATATATTTTCTTCTGGATTCTTTGATGGAAAGAAAAAAATCTAAATATAATTTTTTTTAACAATGTAAAAGTCTGCCGTTACTAATTTAATGTGTCCCTGCTGAATAAAATTATTAATTTCTGACCCCAAACTTTTGAATAGTACTGTATTAGGAATTTTTTTTTTTTTTAGAATACAAAGCTAATTTTGAGTGACTGTCAATGGAAACAACCAAATGGTGTATAATGACACTTTCCAGCAGGGGCAAAACAGGCTAGCCTTGACTCCTTTGCTGAAACCTGCAATCATCTACATGAATGGACTTTAACTTTTTTAGCTTCTGCCTTGTGTCTAGTTTGTTTTTAACCCGGCCATATGCACTTACGATTCTCCTTGAGGAACTCCAGTGTGAATGTGCTAATCCTACTGTTCAAAAACACAGAGAAAGAACTGTTAATGGAGGTTGAGTGAGCGAGGAGAGTGTGAAACAAAGTAAATCATACACCATCAATGAAAGATTGTGTGGTCGAGCTCCCAGCCGCTGTTCATGTAAGTCTCCTGAGTTGGGAATATGCTAGCAAACAGCAAATGGCAGCTTGATCTCCAAATATAGACATTACAACCGTTTGCTCAGCCAATCAGAGAACAGCAGCTATGGTAATGTAAAAGTGGTGTAAAAATGAAAGAAAATTTAGGCTTTTATCTACATGCATTTTACTGTGTGATGATCGTATGTGTATGGATTCTTCTGGTTTCTAACAGGCCTGGAGATTTTTTTTTCTTCATTCTCTTTCCCATGAGGCTTTGTGGTGCTGAAAGCTCATATGAGTGCAATCAAGCCTTGATTGATAGCTCCTGTAGTTCACAGATTTTGTCTTATGCTGCTGTTATTTTTCAGTGAAAACCAGAATGTGCAAACATGCTTAAAAAAAAAAAGTCTGTACAGTAAAACAGTTGTTTGTTGACTTCAAAAGTGAGGTGGGGTTTTTGTGCCCCTAGTGTCAAAAAAAAGGAATTGCTTTTATTTGGTGACTTATGGCGCTTTTCCACTGTGTGGTACGGCACGGTACGGTTCACTTTTGGGGGGTTTTCCACTGGGTACAGTACCTGGTACTTTTTTTAGTACCACCTAGGTTGAGGTTCCAAGTGAACCGTACCGTTACCAAAACGTGATGTGTAAACTCTACTGATTACCGATTGGCTGGAGAGAATCGTCACTACCTGCGTCACTGAACTTGCGACACAAACACAACAGAACCGCTAGATATAAATCAGCACAGCCAGCGAAGGATCGAACGCAACCATTTTAAACAAGCGCACCTTTTTTAACAACCAAAAAGTGGCTGTTTCGTTGTCTGTTGAGGAAGTGCAGACGTTCCTCTCATTGATAGCAGAGGAGCGGATCCAGCGAGCTTGATAGGACGACGCGGAATGAAAAAGTTTTTCAGGAGTCTCGGCAATAGAGGCGGTGCAACTATAACGACATGTGAATAATCCCGCCCACTCTAAAGCGGTACTGAACTGCAGTGGAAACGCGTGCCGAGCTGTGCCGTGTCGTACCGTACTGAGCCGTGCCGAGCCGAGTCGTACCACGCAGTGGAAAAGCGCCATTATTTTTTTATAGGTTTCCTAAACACTCTACAGTCTACTGTCTGCAGTTGGTTGGACAAGCAGATAAACTAAATGTCTGGGACTGTATTAAAATCAATCTAATCCACTTTGACAGAATATTTGTACCCTCTTGTCTTGGAATGCCTTTCAGGTGAATCAAAAATTTCACCATACCACTGTGATTGTACAATGGGTATTGAAACCATTTGGTGTGGTTGTAAAACCAGATGAGTCAGAAAATGAGGCACCAAATGAGAACCACGGTGCAAACAAAAACAGGCACAATGAGGCGACCCATCTGCAGTGTTATTAATCTCTTAACAATCCTGTTCTTTATAAAAGTTTATCTTAACAAGCCCATTGCCTTTGGGAAATAAACAAACAATACAAAAACAACTCCTGACCTCCCTTTGGTCCAGCAGTCCTGTCATGAGGTTTCAGTTTATGTGTTCTCTAATTACCGCAAATATAAATCTGAAATCGGTCACCATGTGAGATCATCTCCCCTTCACATGCAGCAATTCTGTTTCCATTACATCTGAGTGTGGGTGTTTACATATGTCCGCTGTCATCCTTCATTTGATTGACCTAATTCCATTTATTTGAGTCAAGATCCAATCACTGATTGCGTTTTAGTTTGGTTTTGTTATACAATTGCTCAAAACTTTTCAAATTCAAAGAAATAATTCCCCTAGAAATGAAAATGTTGTCATCATTTACTCATAATTTTGTATCATGTTCTAAATGACTTCTTTTTGAAGAACATTCATGCCTCTCAATACAATCAAAACATCTTAATGTGTGTGTATATATATACATATTATATATACACAGAATCATTCTCGTGTAAATATATAAAATTATAAATAATAGAAGCTACACATTGTCAAATTAACAACTAGACTAAATGTTTTAGATTAAAATCAAAAAACTCTTTTTGCTTCATCAAAAAGAGTCATAAGAGTCACTTGTTTTGTAGTATGAACTATACAGGTCAATTTATATGTTGCTTGTTGAGAGCAACAGTCAGAAAAACACAATAAAAGATTCAGTGTGCCCTTTTTGACTTTGTATATATATATAGGCTGTATTTGGCTTTCAATGAACTTGCCCAAGAAATTAATGAGTGACGAACATATGAAAAGTAACCCTCTAAATTGGTTAGTGATTTGACAGTGTTACCCGCCACAGCGGATTCTTACCCACATTTGTCGGGTTGGTGGGTGTTAATTTCAAACCATAATATTATATTTAATTAAATATATTTGTATGTATTTTATTTATTTATATTCTCTTTGCAAAGAAATGTGATTGGGTAAAATAAAAACACTCTAAAATCTAAATTCCCAGTAATTTTTTTTGATAATTTCTCTACAAATGCAAAGCTTGCAACCAGTATTTTGAGCTGTTGCAAATTGCAATGTTGTTTTTGCAGGTGAGAATGAGTGTTCAGTATGCTGGTGCAAGTACCCTCAGTTTCAGACAGGAAGTCAGGGTACCCAGTCACTTTAACACAAACAGCAGCAGTGTAGTAAATGGCCTTAGCGTTGTGTATCTTGTGTTACACAGGTCCTCATAAATATGTCATTAGGTCCTCGGCTGGTTCTTGTATCCCGTGTTTTGATGGATTTAGAGATCCCGAATCCCACTGCGTTATCCCTCCTCTACGTATCACCGTGGTCTTGTCACAAAAAAATCCTCTGTTTGTGTTTCCATACTCACTGTATCCTGCAGAAGAATGAAAAGTAAAAGGAAAACATATTTAGGATTTTTGGAGGTGGCAGTCAGCAGCTGCAAAAGTGCAGCCGTTCGGGGAGGTTTTCAAGTTGTGTTTGTAGTTAATGAACACTTCAAAAGTCTATCCTCTCCCAGTAGGCTGCAAATGCTCAGACATCTTCCACTCAGAATAACACACACATTATATTTTTTTCTCCTTCTCTCGAATTCTTCAGAACTCTGATCCAAATTGTGTGTGCTGCCTTCATAGGCGGCGACCAATGGTCTAGCAACATTTGTTTTGTAGATGCCACTTGGTTTAATATTTTGATAATGTAATAACATTCATATTTATTTATTTATTTTTAAATAATTGTCTTTATAACTCTTGGCTTTTTATTCATGAGGCATCAGACTGCAAAGAGGAAAGAAGGCATGAGGAAGGATTGGAATTGGATTCAAATGTTTGAGGCAGTAGGATTAATTATTTTATGTTTTTTGATTCTTTTTATTTTATTGTTTCAAAATTAAAGGGATAGTTCACCCAAAAATGTTGTCATTAATTACTCACCCTCATGCCGTTTCAAACCCTTAAGACCTTCGTTCATCTTCGGAACACAAATTAAGATATTTTTGATGGTATCTGAGAGCTGTCTGACCCTGCATAGACAGCAACACAACTGAAATGTTCCCAAGTCCAGAGACGTAGCAAGGAGATCGGTAAAATAAAAATGACATCAGGGGTTCAACCGTAATTTTACGAAGCTACGAGAATACTTTTTTTGCGCAAAAGAAAACAAAAACTGACTTTATTCAACAATTCGTGGTGATGCAGAGGAGACGAATTGTTGAATAAAGTCGTTTATTTTTTTTTTCTTTTGTGCACAAAAAGTATTCTCGTAGCTTCGTAAAATTACAGTTGAACCCCTGATGTCACACGGATTATTTTACCGATCTCTTTGCTACGTCTCTGGACTTGGGAACATTTCAGTAGTGTTGCTGTCTATGCAGCATCAGACAGCTCTCAGATACCATCAAAAATTGTATTTTATTCAACAATTAAGCACATTAAATTGATCAAAAGTTAATGTTACTAAAGGTTTCTGTTGCAAATAATTGCTGTTTCTTACTTCTTTCTTTCTGTTAATCAAAGAATCCTGAAAAAAATGTATCACGGTTTCCACAAAAATATTAAGCAGTCTGACTGTTTTTTGACAACAATAAGAAATGTTTTTTTTAGCTCCAAATCAGCATATTCTAATCATTTTTGAATAATTTCTGAAATTATTCAATTTCTGAATAATTTCATGTGACACTGAACACTAGAGTAATGGCAGCTGGAAATTCAGCTTTCAATCACAGGAAAAAATTACATTTTTAAATATATTAAAATAGAACACAGTTATTTTAAATTATAATAATATTTCACAATATTACTGTTTTTACTGTATTTATGATCAAATAAATACAGCCTTGGGTGACTTCTTTCAAAGACTTCTGACCTCAAACATTTGAACAGTAGTGGTAGTTTGTTTACAATAACGTTCATGATAGGAGCATCATATTCCTTCTTTAAAAATGGCTTTAACTAGCCTTAGGTGGTTAGTTGGTCTCCCATCCCTGGCTGGTTGGTTAGACTGATCTGTTTAGATGTTTTAGATGGATCTTAGGCACTTTTCAGCTGGGAAACCAACTATCTAACAAGCTAAACACCATTTTGTTCATACAAGGAGACCAGCTAGACCAACTTAAATGTACCTGAAATATGTTTTTAGGGTTGAAATGTACCACATCCTAGAATGACACCAGAAATTGTTTGAATGAGTGAGAATGAAAGACTTCTTGACTCCCATTCGCCCTCTCACACACTTGTGAGTGATAAAGACGCCAGTACTCGAGATGCCCATACCACACACACACTCCATCTGGCTTTGATGTTTAAGTGCTTAGTGTTTGTATAGCGGCAGCCTCTCCACCTGTTGAAATGCTGTTTTCTCAGAGGGTGAGATGTCCACAGGACCTTCTATTGATCTCCGCTGTCCTAGTATGTTGGTGGTCTGTCATTTTCTTTGGAGTTTTGCCATTTTGTTTTCAAACTTTGTTTACCATATGAGCCTTTTTGGTTCCAGTTTTTTTTTTTTTTGGTTGGCCAAAGCAAAGAATGAGTCACCTCACTTTTGTCCTCTCACTGTTGCTCGAACCCAAATGATTGTGACGTGAAATTAATTTGTGGAGAAGCATACCTTACGAACAAACATGCGAAAGCACAGCAAACACAATACGGCATACAATAATTCCAAGTTAATTTGTGTAACAATATCCCACACAATTTCAATCCAAAGACTCTAAAAGCCTTCTGAAGCCTACATATGCTGGGAATATTATCACACGTCTTTCTTAGGTGGTTCGTCAAGTCTCTGTGAATGACTGTGAAGTCTCTTCCTTTCCAAAAACGAATTGGCAAGTTTCTGGACTTCTCTGCATGTCAAATTTCAGGATACATTTACACTAATAGCTGACACTCTCCCTCAATCACATAAGCGCTACCTGGACAGCACGAAAGGTCAGCGAGGGTCTGAAATTCCTGCAAAGTGTATCAGTTACTGTGCTTAATGAGCAAAAATCTGTTTTGAGTTTTCCCTCAGGCTTGAGGTTATGCGAAGATGATTACAGATCAGAGCGTTCACCACTGAAACAGCCATGTTGTCACTTCTCCCTGGCCTCAGGTCAGTTTTGAGCCTATTAGGGCACTTCAGGCAATCAATCAGCCCATGCACGCTCACCACACTGTACCGGTTATTGCTATGCTAATTTAATTATTCTGTACTTTCTCATTACTGGCGATTAGAGCAGACTGTGATTTTAGTGTGTGAGAGGATGTGAGTTTCATGCCTTAAAGGTTTGTGGCTTTTAGTCCATGTGTGCTTGCTTTGAAGATAATCTATATGCTAGTGTACAACTAATCTTTGGATTTTTGTATTTAATTAGACACATTTTTGTTTAATCAAATGTTTTTTTAGAAGAGCTATTTATGTATATATGTATTTATTTATTTGCTAACTTTATTTAATTTAATTTTTTCACCTGACATTTGTTTCTGTTTTTATATTTATGATATTTACGTTTTTTATAACGTAAATATCATCTGATATTGATATATTGTACATTATTGGATATTTAATTGGGCATGTTAATTTCTGCCTATTTTTACATGTAGATTACCTTTACTAGGGGTTGACCGATATGTGTTTTTCAGGGCCTATACCGATTATTACAGATCAAGTAGACCAATAACCGATATTTTGAACCGATATATATGTCTGGTGAAAAATTAAAATTAATGTCAAAGTTAAGAATAACAAGGGCTCTGTCAAAAAACATTTTTTAAATGCTTTTAAATTATTTTATCGGCAAATCAATTTTGAAAATGACTGATACCGGTAACCATAAAATGCTTGATATCGGCGCCGATAATCGGTTGATCCCATAACCTTTACTGTCATGTCTTTAAAAACTAAATAATTGAATAACTACTAAATGTAATCTTAAGAATATCCAAATGAAAAACTTTCATAATTTTAATAATGTTGTGATGCCTAAATTCAGATTTTATTTTAAAATTTTACATTTAAAATTTTTTATTTTATTTTTGCACGAAGTAGTATACTATTTAAACATCAACAACATTGTGAAAATGATTTTTTCCTTATCAGTATCAATCCGTGTATCAATCCCTACTTTTTTCCTGTAAAAAATCTTGTAGCGTGCATGCGCGCTTTTGAAATGTTTAGCTATGTGTTAAATGTCATACGTCTGTCGTGCCAGTGTCGTTGATAGTAAACACGCAAGATCTAGGTCTTTTCCCACCGTATAAGGGCTCAAGCTATCTGAAGATAGAGGTGTTATCTCAATCTCTTTGATTGACACTTCCTCAGCTGCCAAGTGCAAGAATACAAGATCCAGTAGATCCTGGAGATTTCATTGCTATCACTTCCACTCCATTTCCCTAGCACCCTGTGGTGTGCACTTATGTCTCTGTATATAAAGACATCAAATTGATTTCCTTGCTGTGTGTTTTTGTAATTGCATCATGTTTGAGTGTTTATTTAATCTAAATATGTATCCACTGGACCCTGGAGGCCATGATTCATTCAAACATTTGGAGATGCTCCTCCGTCCTGCTCTGCATTAAACTCTGCAGTTCTGGTTATGATAGGGATCACCACCACCAATCATAGAGTTTAAAGACATAATGAACTTTCCCTGCGTGTTATCTCTTCTCTCACTCTTTCTTTCTTCTCCTATCTGCTCTCGATCTCACTTTCACCCTCGTCAGATCACTGGTCCTCATTAGTGCATTTGGCTCACTAACAGTCCCGAAAGCCGCAGGGCTGTAGATGTAGATTAGATAGATCTGCTGTGGACTCATCTGTGCTGGAGAAGCTGAGGGAAGATCTGGCACTGATGTCTGCCTTAATCTGCTTTAAAAAAATCATCCCTCTCTTTTATATTACATTAATGTGAATGTTTCTGGCATGTGCTTTCTTTCCAAAGTGTTTTACAGGGCAATGCAAAAATATATATTATATTTGTGTCTGATATGACACACACACACACGTATATATGTTTGAAGTCAGTACATTTTTTTTAATGTGTTGGAAATAATAATCCACCATTATGTTGTCTCTTTCCCCAGAAAAAAGAGAGAGAGTGTATGCAGCTACGTATCGGGATTCTGAGGTGTGAGTTGGAGAGACAGAGGAAGGCGCTGGGGAGAGAAATGGACCTGATGCAGAAAGAGAGAGTGCAGCTTGTAAAGAAAGGTAACCAAATTCCACAAACCATCCAAGTAATGAGAGATCTGTTCTACTTGGGTTAATAAAAACATCATATGTATTCAAATGCTTTTTCTTCCTTTATACTATTATACACCAGTGGTTCATATCCCCACACATCTGCAATCAGGCAACATTCTCTTCCAAAACTGTGTGTCAGACTGAATGTGTTGTGAAACTCTTCATCTTATTTTTCACTGATGTAACTTCATGCGTGTTCCAGAACTTTGGAGGACCGTATAGCGTTCCATCTGCTAAAATGTATTTCCAGATTTAAAACGCCGGCTGTCCACATTCTCATGTAAATGTAATTCCATGCCTTGAATTGAGCAAGGCAGTTGTTTTACATCTAACCAGCCTTCAAGCAGAGTCCAGCACACAATATTTTTTACTGTTCTCACTTAAACTGCAAAAATTAGCAGGAAGCAACAAAATTGCAGCCATTCAGAACATATTTGATGTTTAGTGATGTATTCAATAATTTGTGATATCATTCAAGTTGATATCTCTATCTACCAACCAACCAAAAACAAAACAACAATTCAGTGATGTATAAAAAACACAAACCGCATTTGTTTAGCAGGTGAGTGATTAGCAATAAAGATCATTTGCCATGTTTTACACACCTGTCGCAGCAAACGTTTGCCAAAAAGATTTTATTATCTTGTAATAATGTCAGGAATTTAGACTCAATGAATTGCCTAAATGCTATTGTTTACCATTAATTGTGTAGTTTGCTGTATTCAAATGATGTCATCCTTTTGGAATCATGTTGGGAATCTGACTTTCCATTGCACTTCTTTAGTGCTGTCAAATGATTAATTGCGATTAATCGCATCCAAAATAAATGTTTTTGTTTACATAATATATATGTGTGTGTGCTGTGTATATTTATTATGTATATATAAATACACACACATGCATGCATATAGTTAGAATATATGTAATGTTCATATATTAAATATATTTATATATAATATGAATTATGAGTATAAATTAGTGCTGTCAAATGATTAATCGCAATTAATCGCATCCAAAATAAAAGTTTTTGTTTACATAATATATATGTGTGTGTGCTGTGTATATTTATTATGTATATATAAATACACACACATACAGTAAATATTTTAAAAAATATTTACATGTATTTACATGTAGATATTTATATTATATCTAAATATATTTAACATAAACAACATATTTTTCATAAATATATACATGCATTTGTTTGTATTTATTTTATTTATTACAGTATACTCATATATTATGTAAACAAAAACTTTTATTTTGGATGCGATTAATCGCGATTAATCATTTGATAGTATTAAAAATAAATACATGGAAATATTTTCAAAATATATACTGTATGTCTGTGTATTTATATATGCATAATAAATATACACAGTACACACATTTTATGTTAACAAAAACTTTTATTTTGGATGCGATTAATCGTTTTACAGCACTACACTTCTTTAAGAAGGAACTTGGATATTCCATTTTCGGAGCATTTTTTTATTCTCTTTCAGAGATTTGAATTTGTGTGGTACTGCCCAATCAAATGACGTATACATTGCTTGTCATGACTGATTCGGGCAAATGTTTTGCTAAATATTATATACATGCCTATTTAAACCATGTTGTTAGTCATATTTTGTCATTTTCTATAATGATAAATCCCCTTGTAACAAAATGGCACTTCTGGAGTGGCACTTCCTCCACCACCCATGTCACACACACTTTAGTGGTCTCATTATTCTCTTCTGTTACTCTACACTGCTTCCATCAAAGATTCAGACTGTGCAGGCGGACATTGAACATACAGAGTTTATCCAAAGCTAAAGTTCCTTACCTCCCCATTCGTCACAGCGTCCTGCCATTCATGTTTGATTTCTGAATCCCGCTCTTTTTATTTTGCCAAATGTTGTGCATGGGCGGGAGGTACGGAGAGGTGAGTTTGATTGATTGTGTTTGACTAGAGGGTTGGGCTGCATACTGTGGGTGCATAAAGAATACATATATGCACGCTTGCACAACCATAATGATGGAGTGTCCTGGCACTTGCCTTCCCACAATGCATTGTGTTCATGACCTTCTAGTGTGTAGAAACAAACAACAGATTTGGGGTTCAGGGAAAGGTCTGTTCTAGATGGATGACGTCTGCCCAACAGCCTCTGTCGAGAGAAGCCTGTCCTGACTGGAGCTGAAGGGAGCAGCCCATTCACATTCACACTCAGGAAAAGACTTTTGAAGAGCTGAAGGAAAACATTATTTGAACTCGAGTAAAAGGAAAAGATGGCACAACGCTTGACCCCCCGCCCACTTCATTCATTCTGAGATTTATTGGTCTTTCGTTTCTTTCTTTCTTTCTTTCTTTCTTTCTTTCTTCCTTTCTTCCTTGGCACAACGCTTGACCCCCCGTCCACTTCATTCATTCTGAGATTTATTGGTCTTTCGTTTCTTTCTTTCTTTCTTTCTTCCTTTCTTCCTTCCTTCCTTAAAATTAGTCAATATCGTAAGGTATGCACTTAGCATTTGTTGATGTGTAAGGTTTTTCTATTTAGTGTTAACAGACAGTGTATAAAAAATGTGTATTTGGTCTTCCCTTTCCCTTCTTTGCCAACATCTCCTCATTAAAATATATTCAGTGGGTTATTATTAGTAAAGAAAAGGGAGAAAAGCGCTCTCTTCAGGGAGTGACATGAAAGAGATTCCAACTTTTTTTCTTTCCCGTCATGTCCCTCTTATTTGAGGCCTGCCTTTCCCATTCTCGCTAACAAATGCCCCACACCTAAATTTCATTTAAACACTAATGGTCCTTTAAGCTGTTGTCAGTCACCACTTATTTTCTATGATACTAACCGGACCAGCACTCCTAGAAACAGCATGAAAGCCTCCTTCCAAAACTACCGTAGTTTATCCCACTTACAAAGGGAGATTGCCAGAAATTGTACAAAATGACTTAAGTGTAACCACGTCTCATCTCTGTTTAATGTACAAAGCTGCAGTCATGTGCTTTCGCACTCCCCCGCTGGTTCTGGTCACTGAGCGCTTCCTCGTTTCCATTGAAGCACAGAATAAAGCTTTGCAGGGTCAAGCTTTCTGTACCGTTTCCCTCGCTTTAATTTCTCGTCACGTCCGTGCACATGTTGTAAATTATGTCCGTAAAAGCGATTTGACGTTGTTATGATTGGTAGTTGCGCTCGGGACCATGGGCCTGTAAACGTCAGATGTAGAGGCACTCCACAAACGAAGAGGAAAATTTAAAGAATTGAAAAATAATATTAGTACAGAGCAAGGGGACACACGTTTACTAGTCCTTTTGTTCATTAGAACACCAGTTTGCTTCAGTTTTCTGTGGTTTAGCTTTTATGTGTATTTTTCATCTCATTATCATTGGGAAAATAAAAAATGTTTTGCCAATTAATATTTTCATCTTTAATTTTTAGTTAATGAGATCAATTGTTTCTCTGGAAGATAAAAGAAGGTATTTTTAATGTTGTCTCCATGGTTGTTTTTGACCTTACAATTAAATCCTCTGTAGTCCAGTATTGTTTTGGTCCTCATTAACTTAATTGTATGGATAAAAACAGCTGAAGCTTTCTTCAAAATGTCTTTTCGTGCTTCACAACCGAAAAAAGATAGAGGGTGAGTAAATGATGACAGAATTTATATTATTGGGTGAACAATCCCTTTAACCTCTGCTGTTGTTTCTCCAGAGCAAACGCAGATGACTTCCTGCCAGTAGTCTTTAAGAAAGGTGTAGGCGGCAAAGAGGAGGCCTTTACCTGGTGCTGACAACTCTGATGGCCGAGAGAGATGGTATTACTAAAGCAGAGTTGTCATAGGGGATCATTTAAAGAGAACAAGTAGAGAACAAAAGCATTTAGACCTTCCAGTCTATCTCTCTGCCTCTCGCCCTTTTTCTTTTTCCTGCTGTCTCGTCCTAATGAGAGGTTCAAGGCTTTGCATATGGGATCGCTTTGCTCCAGCGACAATGAGCTCTCTTCCAATTTCCCTGGTTCACACCTCCCATGTCTTCAGAAAGACAGCACCAGGGTCCAGGTTGTCCCGCCAAGGTTTACTTTAGGACAGAGATCCCACAGAACAGTAAAAGAGAAGAGAATGTGAGGCATATTATAAAGCAGACGCTCTCTGTTTTTACAAGTGCGGGTCAGAACAAAGCAATTTTGCCCCCTTTTTAAAAAAAACAAACAAAAAACAGACAGTCTGCTTTGATTTTCTCTTTCCACACTCATCTTCCCTCATCTTCTTATTTTATGTAAGTGAAGTGGAAAAGAACAGACAAGAATCAACTCTTTAAAGGAATTGTGAACCCAAAAATGAAAATTGTCGTCGTTTACGCTCCCTCATGACATTCCAAACCCGTATGACTTTCTTCCTTGGGAAAATTGTTTTATTTTGAAGAATCTTCACGCAATCTTGACCACATATATATATATATATATATATATATGTATGTGTGTGTGTGTGTGTGTGTGTGTATTTGTTTGAATATATACTGTATGCACTGTATATTTATTGGTCCAAATACAGAGACCTGGGGCACACCACAATTTCAGCCTATCCTCCTTTTGATCTGTTTGTAGAGGGAATTTAAAACCTCCTCCTCTCTTCGTTTCTCACTTATTCATCTCTCTTGCTTTCTGTCTCTTTCTATCTTTTCCCTCTTCTGTAGATATTATGTCTGAAATAATGGACCACAACAGTATTGCATAGAAGTGGGGCTGACACATGAATTCCACAGCAGCTCACTCTCTCTCTCTCTCTCACACACACACACACACACACACACACACACACACGTACATGCTCCTGGCTGATGCTTTGATCACATGAGGGTTATATGGCCAATTGGCCATGCAGGCTAGGTTGGGAAATGTCTTTTGAACACCATCAGCAAAACCCTTAGAGCCAGATAATCTGGGCAGAGTGTATCTCTTTCCAGCAATCAGATGGAGATTTACTGTTCTGTTTTCCTTGAATGTACACAAACACACTGGATTTCTGCACAGAGCAGCAGTTAGAGACAATATTATTTTGTACTTCTGTAATTTGGGGGTTTTAATATGCATTGTTTCTTTTGGAGCTTTGCTTCAAAGTGTGTGTTCAACTTCAGGAAATTGATTTTTATTACACATTTATCTAATACATTTATTTTTCCCCCTTTTCGTTATATATAGGTCACAGTATTTTATTTTAGATTTTTTTTTCATTGTAGTTTTCCATGCCTTCATTTATTTTTTTTCTACTTTCAAATACCTTTCATGTTTAGAATTCATTGTTTCATTGTTATTTATTGTTAATTGTAAAATTAAAAAAAAGGAAAATAATAATTTTAAATGTAACTTTAATTTGAAAACCTGAAAAAATGAAATAAACACACCATTTTGAAATGTGTGTAAAAAAAAATATTTTACCAATCTTTATAAAAATTACAACATTCAGTTGTGGCATCATTTCCACCACAACCAACAATTTTGCCCCCAATAACATTTTAACAAAATTTAGTGTACTCGATTAGTGTACCATGATTGTGATGAAATACATTTAAAAAAAAATAAATATTACTTGTAAATAAGAATATTTTAATTGTATTTTTAAAAAGTTCACAAGGTCAGAGTAGTTCAAGAAAGTTCATCGTTCAAGAAACACCCATAAATGTACTCAAGTACAATAACAGTTTACCAGAGTATTTAAGATTGCGGAGTTTCACAATTTCATCATTAAATTCTTTCAGACTTTTTGTAATCTAAGCATGTCTTATCCTGCTCTGTTACCCAAATTTCAAGTCAGGAGTGTTTTGATTATATGCTCTCGTCTTTTTATTATAATGATGAGCCGTTATATTTATGTAAAAAAACCCTGCAAGCATTTTTTGAATCTCAATTAGTTTTATGTTGCCCTGTAGAGGAAATGTTTTTATAATGATGAAAGACTATGTTTTAAGACGGTACAATTTAATAGACTGCCATCAAAATGAGACACACATACTCACCTGTACAAACACAAATGAGACTACCTGTTCATTCACCTCATTCCCGTCTTTTCTCTCTCTTTTATTCTCTCCACCTGTCTGTTCATCTCCTCAGAGGAGGCGTCGTCTACCAAGCATCAGGGTCTGGAGTCTGAGCGCAAGTCTTTGACGGAGTTACAGAAGGAATGCACTGCCAAAAGGTGAGTGATTGGCAACCTGCAATTATCCGTCCCTCTCTTTTCTCTTTTTCATCCCTCGTTCTCTACCCTCCAGTCCAGTGGTCTCACATCTGTCAGACATTACCGTGATGGGCCGCAGAATCTGGTACTCCTTCGTTCTGTCGTTTTTTTGGGAGCGCTTTGGGAGATTAGACGGTCAACTCAAGCAGACTGAGGGCATGCTGGATATATTTGTGTTTTCCCACCCACTTGAATTGCATCGTGTGACAATAAACAGATTATGTTGTGCCAGCGCTGATGGGTTTGACACGACCCAAAGGGTCACACACAGTGGGTTGACCTCTGAAATAATGCTTTTGTACGACTGGTGGTGTTCCTCAAACTCTTGTTTGAAGCACAGATGTCAGGCCTCGGGTAATGCTGCAATAAACATTGCTATCATTTATGTTATTTTTGTCCATTTTGCCTTTTAACATTTTTAAAAAATAAATATCAGTAGTCAGAAGGGGGAAATGGGATCAGGAAATGATATAATCCAGTCTTGAACTATCTTCACCCACATGATCACCAAGGCTTATGCATCAAGCACTCACTTTCACTGACCACTCCATCAACAACTGATTTTCTTTATATGATTATATATATATTTTAATTATACAAATATAATATTTATTATATTTATTCATATATTTGTTACGTTTATGTAATATATTTGTTTATATTAGCCAACAATTTGCAATAATTCAATTGCATCCTTGCTGAATACAAATATTAATTAATTAATCATTTTTTTGACTTACACCAAACTTTTAAATGATGGTGTATCATGGTTTCCACAAAAACATGAAGCAGCACAACTGTTTTCAACATTAATAATAATAGAAATTAGTTTCTTGAGCAGCAAATTAGCATATTAGAATGATTTCTGAAGGATCATGTGACACTGAATACTGGAGTAATGCTGCTGAAAATGCAGCTTTGCCATCACAGGAATAAATTACATTTGAAAATATATTCAAATAGAAAAAGAGTTATTTTAAGCTGTAATAATATTTCACAATATTTCTGTTTTTACTGTATGTTTTCAGTATTTTTCAGTATTTTATTTGATCAAAAAAAAAAAAAAGCAGCCTTGGTGAGCATTAGAGATTTCTTAAAAAACGTTCTTAATTTACTTTAAAAAAAAAAAAACTTAATTATTCCGAAGTTTTGACCGGTAGTTTATTTATTATAAAATATAAATACAACTTTAAATTCATTCCTCTTAAAAGTATTGCCACTACCATCACACACATTCAGACAGATGTCTCTGGGCGCTGATTTGCATCTCATGCTGTTTTTGGCACATTGAAGACCCACTTCCAGTAAAGACAGATCAAGTTATGTTCACAGTTTAACAGTGGTTGGATAGAAATGTTTTGACCGGATTTTGGGTGGTGTAGAGCAGGCCTGGTGGACCCACATGTAAGCTATAGTCCAGTAAGGAAGGTATATCCTTCATACCTCATCATTACTTCCTTCCTGCCTCTTTTTCATGGCTGTAAATGAATACCACATTATCCTCTATCATTACTCTTCATCTTTCTCCTCAAGTCACAGACCCAGTAGCTGAAAGCTGAACATGAAAAGTAAACATTTTTTCAACCCTTTGCACCTCACCTAGACAGGTCTTGGTTTTAGCTTTGCCTGTCCCCAGCCTCCCCCCGTCCTGAGGTAATGGTGTGTCCCCTTCTTGACATATGTGTCCTGATTAGGTTGTACCACTGGAGGATGGGGTCAGCGTGAAGGAAGTTCATTGTAATTGGGCAGTTATGATAATTGAGTAGTTCTTACCATTACTAGAGAGATGATTCAGAGCATCATTAGCGAAGTGAACTTCCTAAAGCTAATATAAACATTGCAATTAATACTTCTTTTTCCTCTTCTTTTTCTTTTTTCCCCTCTTTGTTCATGTCATTTGGACTCCCTGTTATTTCCTGTCTTGTGACTGACTACTGCTAGTTATACAGTAGCCCCAAAAAGTATTTAGACAATTTTGGACACTAAAATGTATGTGAATTTCTTTTTAGTAGAGAAATATAAATATCCATATGACATCTGCACACAAATGCTGCTAGAGCTACTGTTTTTAACCAGTTGTTCACAGGTTTTTAGTGGATGTACGAACACAGGTTTTCTAGAATAATATATTTACACGTGTATTAATTTTATATAATAATAATGATCATCATCCTCATTTGTTTTCAATGATTATTATTATTATTAATAATAATAACAACAACAGTTATTAATGTTGTTTAACTTTTATTATTATTAATTATTAATAAGTTATTTATTAATGTATTATTATTATTATTATTAATTTATTGCAATAAAAATAAAATATTAAATCATATATCAATCTAGAAATAAAATGAAGATAAATGATGATAATAATAACAACTATATTATAACAGCAATATAATATTATTTATTAGTATTAATTTAACAATTTTAATGTATTTCTTAAATATTATTATTTAATTAAAATATTGCAATTGATTATTAATATACTACAACACTAATAATATATTAATATGTATCAACCTAGAAATAAAGATTAATAATAATAAATGATGTAAAAAATATTGTAACAGAAATTATATAATGTATTAGCAATATCATATCATATATAGAAATAAAGAGTAATTTATTATTTTTATTTTAATGATAAAAATAATTTACATTTTTGTTTACACTTAATTTGAATATATGGTGAAGTTCTTCTGTTTGTTCTTCAACAGAGAGCTGTTTCTAAAATCCAACGCCCAGCTCACCTTCCGCTGTCGTCAGCTTATATCAGAGCTGTCCTACATTTATCCCATTGATGTGGTGAGTGTTTAACTCCACACACAAACAACATCACACTCAAACACGCTCAACAGAAACACTCATAGTGCAGCTTCCTGTCTGTCTTGTTTTGTGCTGATGACTGGAGCGTGTGGCTTGATGGGAATGTTAGAGGTCAGGGTCTTTGCAGACTCTGGTGTTACTGGCTGTTAACAAGTTTTGGTTTCCCACCATCTCAGTATGACCTAGAACTACTGTTCAGTGCGTACATTGACTGGCACCCGCAGAGTCCCGCTGCCAGTCAAATCAGTTTACAGAATAAAGCCACTGAAAATGAGCAGAAAACCACATTCAGACCAAACTATCCTCTGCCAAGCTTTCTCAGTTGTTGCTTAAAGGATTTGATTAATCGGCTGTTCATGCTGTTTCCAGAATGCTGTGCCTCACGACTGCCTTTCTGTTGTTTTCTTGTTCTCTTTGCAGAACAATCAGAATGATTATGTGATTTGTGGTGTCAAACTGCCCAATTCGGAAGACTTTCAAGGTAAGTTTGGAGTTTGGCAATTAAATATACTCAATGAACATTCCTGTTGTTCAAGTGGTGACAGACTGATTTATTAATTAACCAATTAATTGATCAATATTTGCTTTCTCTTGAGTCAGTCCAAAAATCTAGTCAGTTTGACAAAAAAAAATCTCATTTTCTGTTCTCTAATATAGTGTTGTGAAATCCTTCACACTAAATATTAAACTTCTGTAATTCATCCTGCACTGTCTGTTCTTTGGACATGTATAAAGTGGCAAATCATACAACATTTTTAATTTTTTGTTTTGTTTTATTTTTCTAAGCATACTAAGCAGAAGGAGGGATCTGAAATAATATTGAAATAAAATAATACAGTACTTTTTATAAATATTTTTAATTCGTAATTTTGGATTTTCCATTTTTGTTTTAAATTTAAAGTTTTAGTAATTTTGTTTGTTTTTGTCATTTTTATTATGTCTTGTCATTTTTTGTGTTTTTAAGAAATGCCTATATAATTTTTAATATATATTTATATCATATATTCAAATATATATTATAATATTTATTTGTATTTCAGTTTTCGTTATTATTTAGTGAATAATAAAAAAAAAGACTCGCTTAAAGAATGCGTAATGAAAATGTGCGCCTTGAATTAATTCAGTCGTGTTCAAGTTCAAATGATCACTAAACAAAAAAAATGACATCTCTCTGCTTGCATGATACATTTATTTTTAGAAATTAATAATTATTTTAGTTTAACACGGCATATTTGTTCAGTGACAAAAAAAGATAGTCATAACTGTCTTCTCAAGTAACTGTACGAAGTTCCACCTGGTTTTATCCAAATACAGATACGAATAATTTTGTGATTGTTACAGATACAAATACAGATGCAAATACTGGCTGTTACATGAAAATTAAATATAAATGTATGGATATGTGTGTGTGTGTGTGTGTTTGTGTGCGCGTGCGTGTGTGTTTGTGTAAAAAATTTTTTTTTCAAGTTAACATTTATTTTAATTCAAGTAACAATGTTTTTTTTAACGGTTTTAGTTAACCTGAGCTGATGAATCAGTTGATATTTGGCCATTTTAAAATGAAAATGGTGCCCGTTTGGCTCCAAAATGTTGCTCATATAAGTAAAATATTGCACATTTGTTACATTTCAGATTTTTTTTGAGTGAATTTTCATAAACTTTTCATTAAATTTCAGCAAACTGTTCATTTTGATGTCATTAAATTGTATTCAATAGTGCTGTGTTCAAAATAGCGATACGACGTTGTATCGTCACATAGATTTGACGATACGAGTATCGATACAGCTGGCTCTGTATCGATACTGTGGCACGTGTGCAGCAGTGGACCACGCTTAATTTTTTTCAGTGGACAACGTTTAAAATTGAGTAGAAAAGTGCGAGGTTTCTAAAAAAGAATGAATAGAGCATCTGTTAATAATCTGGCCGCATACAGTATATGTCTGCATAAAAAAGTCGGAAATATTTACTCCAAATTTCTCTGTATTGGTAACTGTGAATTTCCAGCCATCACTCTCTGAATTAAATCAGAATGAGATACAGCAAATCTAAACTCATCTGGAGAGGAGCTCTTGAATCCCCAGTCAGTTCTGCTTCACTGGCTTCAATTCCCTTGATTTCTGTCTTTCTTCAGTCTGGCTGTGGATCACAGGCTCCAGGCCATCAATCAATCATCCTCCTCTGTTCTGATCAATGGGGCCCTGTGTCCACGGAACCCTTCAGCTTGTGGTTACGAGTGAGATCACTCTAGTCAGTTATTCACACAGCAAGAACCGTGGTCGGACCTTCTGACTTCTCGCATTATATAAGAGAAAAGGATTTTATTAGGGCATTCATCTCCCAGTACTATAGTTAGGCTTTTGGGGTTTTTAATAAGGCGAATGTATTGTGTGTGATGGGTACAAGTGATGTCCTTTGTTGTACTGGCTGTGGAGAGAGTTATTCATCTCATTTCCCATGAGACCTTTAGGCAGCACTGTATGTGTCGCAGGGAATCAGGTTTGGCCTTTTTCAGGCAGGAGAGGCATTACTTCAAAAGAACAAAGAGGTTAATGGAAGCCAGGTTGAACCTCGCACTCACCGACACGCATTCACATACATGCATATGCAGTCTTTCACATATGTGGCTATTGCTTGGCACAGTTTCTCATGCATTTTGAAAGCACGCCAACTCTTATGCATATACAACTTATTATACTAAATAAATCTCACATAGCTTTCCATAAGTGATATGGTCTGTGTCCACAGCTTATTTTCTTCATTTGGAAGTATGTGGCTGTTCTAGCCTGGAAACCTTCTGTAAGCTGAAATGTAGTGAGTACAATGAAGCATGTGTAGTTGTAGGGATGTCTGGGAAATGTAGTTTGGATGCATGTTTATGAAAAGTGTGGTTTTTATGACTACTTTTAAGAGAGAGAAAAAAGCTTTTTGCATTCTTTTTTTCACAACCCATAATAACCAGTTGACCTGTTGTCCTTCCAGTTGCTCAGCAACCAAATATTTTTTGTTTGGCATTTGGGCTTTTTGTTTGAATTTGCTAGAAATGCCCTGAAAGGTTGCCGTTCAGACAGTAATGGGGCCATCAGAGTGATTTAGATTGCATATAATTATTTAGGAAATGCACACGTCGCAGTGTGATTATACATGTTTAAAGACTGAACACTAGCATTAGCCGATCCTTGTTTTTTTAGAGTAGCTTTAGAGTAGCCTCTGGTGATGCCTTTGACCCCATCAGGAAAGGGCATCGCTGGGGTGAACTGAAGTTTTGCATGGTATTAGGTTATTATGCGGCTCCTTATAACTCAAAGGCCCTAAGGAGACTCAACAAAATGAATGGCCTTCATCAGCATCCATCAACTTAACAAATGGCCTCTGATTTATAACCTCAGATTGGAGTGAATTAACTTCAATTGTTGTGACTCATCTTTTAAAACAGAATGTACAAATCTTGACCTCAAATGAAATTGAGGTTGTAGGCTTGTATAAATAATGAAGAACCATTTTGTATTAATAATATTTTAGCATTGTGACATTTAGTGTTCTCTTAAACAAACAGGTTTGTCAAATAATAAATTACAGAAATGATTGTGTTATATAAATATACATTTTTTTAGACATTATATTATTAATAGTATTTATAATTATTCTAACATGTTATTAAAATATTATTATTAAAATATTTTAATATTCAGTATTGTAATTATTTGCTTTAAGAGTTTGTGTGTTCTGTTTTATGTATTTTATTATATAAAATTCTATATTGAGAATTAATTTGTAACAAATATATCACTTATTAGAGACTGTATTATTATTATTATTATGTATAATTATGTTATTAAAATATTTTTAGCATTCAGCATTGTAGTTTTTGCTTTAATGAATCAATGTTTTGTTTTTGTGTATTTTATTATTAAAAAAAAAATCTATAATGAGAATTAATTTTGTAATACATATATAACTTATTAGACACTATATTATTTATGATTATAATATATTATCAAAGTACTATTTAAGCTGTAATTAAATAATGTGTTTTGTTTTATGTATTTTATTATAAATATAAATGTCTATAATGAGAATGAACTGTTATAATGCAGAGGCATTACAGTAATGTGAACGTTGGATTGGAAATGTGATTGTCAGGAAAACAATGTCACAATGCAAAAAAAAAAATTTAATAAAATGATGATCCTAAAAATAGGATTCTTTTTAAAAAAAATTTTAAAATATATTTCTATCCTTTTTGATTTTCGGTGGTTAAATGTGACCCAGACCTTTCTTCGAGATTCACCTGTCTTATTTGAGTTTTATTTTCTCTTCTTTGAACTTTTTTTCCCCCTGTGTTTTCCTCTGTTTGCTGCAGCAAAGGATGATGGGAGTGTTGCGGTGGCTCTGGGTTACACGGCACACCTGGTGCTGATGATATCGAGCTTCCTGCAGATTCCGCTCAGGTATCCAGTCATCCACAAGGGTTCCCGCTCCTCCATCAAAGACACCATCACTGACAAACTCACAGAGAAGGAGAGAGAGTAAGAATGATTTTCAGATTCTTTAAGTTTTATTGCTTAGTAATTAATTCAATCACATTTTTCATAGCTCTGTATCACAGAAATCATTTTTTTATTGTTATTAATAGTTGACAGTAGAAAAGCAACAAAAGCAAACCAATTGATTTATCTTATGCATTACGCTCTAAAAACTTTCTTCCTTTAACACAGGAATATTTATGCATCTTTTTGCACCTGTGGTTTATGTGTGTGTAATTTGTCCACCTGTCTGTTTCAATATGCGTGTTCAGGGGTGGTTTAAGGCCTTTCTTGGATTAAGCGCTACTTAAACGCCACGGGGTTCTGACTTTCATGTGCTCACCTCGCCTCCCTTTCATCCATTCCTCTTTAACTGTCTTTTCTTTCATCTTTTTATCTCATCCTCCCTCTCAGTAGATTACCACGTCTGCTGCAGCATGGGAGATGAATAACTAGATGAATAGAAAGAGGTTTCTCATTGGTGTCTTAAAGGCACAATATGTAAGATTTTTATATTAAAATATCCAAAAACCCCTAGAACAGTTTTATATATTTTGCTGACTTGTGTACTTACATTATCCCAAATGTTTTGACGAATGTTTAAATCCATAGAAATAAGTAATTTTAACTAGTGACACGGACCGTGTCCATAGTGTCATCGTGTCGCCTGCCAATGACGTCATAACGCCTCGATTTGCGTTGTTTTGTAGAAAACATGGAAACACCAAAGACGCTTTAATATGCTATGTATTTTATTAGACGGGTGACGACCACACAGAGTAGCATTATAACACAACATTCAAATGTATCTAGTATGATAAAACAGCGCTGCTTACTGTTGGTGCTTTCCGGAAGGAGCGGAAGCGGTCGACTGTGGCATAATAAAAGCTCCGCTGCTTTCGAGCCGTGTGTCGCGCTCGTTCAGCGGCCTCGTTTTGCTTCAGCGTCTTTCCGCCTCACTCTGCTTCATAGTTCATACTACGACGTTAATAAATCTTTAATATATTAGCTCATCCATGAACATGATTTCTGCCCGAGGCCCATCGGATTGCTTCGGCTGTGAAGATGAAGATGACAACTCCCATGATTCCACACTCAGTCACGGCGTCATCAAACTACGCCTTTGTTTCTTTGTTTGTTTTGAATACGCGCCCTCTAGTGGCAAATTACTTATTGTGCCTATCTTACTAATTGACATTTTATCAAAGCTGCATAACTTCATAATTGAGATGTTAGCAGATTTACAGCGTTTTTTAAATTTGCAATTTTTATGTTTGTTTGTTTTTTGTAAAGTTCTAATTATTTTTTTCTTATTTATTTATTTTAATTTTGGCTTTTTTTGTCATTTTTGTATGGAAGCCCATTTCAGCCACGAAATAAAGAATTGCTAACATTTTATCTCATAATTCTGAATTTTCTTCTCATAGTTCTGAGAAAAACGTCAGAATTGCGAGATATAAACTCAGAAGTTTACATTTTGCAAATTTGACTTTTTTCCACCAGAATTCTGAGTTTACATCTTGCATTTTTTTCATGCCACAAAATAAAAAAGGTAATCATGGCTTTTATCTCAAAATTCTAACTTTTTTTTTTTGTAGTTGCGAATTTATAGTTTATATGTTTATATGTAGGAATTTTCTGACTTTTCTTCTCAGAATTGGCAGTTATCAACTTGCAGTTGCGATTTAATCTCACTCTGCTGACCTTTTCATTTATATATTGCAGATTCTTTCTCCAGAATTGCGAGAAAAAAGCCTGAATTGTGAGATATAAACTCATAATTGTGAGAAAAGAAGCTAGAATTGTGAGGAAAAAGTCACAAGTACCGTTACATTTATATATTATATATTACGTATATTTTTTTTATTTCATGGCAGAAATGGGCTTCCATTCTTTTGTTAATGGTAAAGAGAGATTTTTTTTCCTAAATTATACTTTTTTTTTTTTAAATGAAATTTTTGTAAACCTCAGAGTTACAAGTGCATTGTTGTCATTTGGGGACAGCAATATTAAGTGCACTACTACTTCTAAGGTTCATTCTATTCCTCCAAATCGGTTTGTAATCCAGTTTTAACCATTGACATCCATCCTATGTCTATGTTTATAGCTCTAGCAGCTAGAGTAACGTTTCATCATCTAATGGGATTCTTTCACAACTCTTGAAACCACCACTTTTGCCTGGTCTGCCATGAATGCATTTATTTACCCTAATCTTCATAGTTTCATGTTAAATTGCATCCTCAGGGTGTGATGTTGCCCTACCGTGTTTTAAGATGCATGTAATTTGACTTTTTGTGTGCATACTATGCTGTGTTTGCCATGGAGACGGATGCACACTCTTCGGGCTTGGCCTGTGGGGTCCGAAGACCCTGACATTTTAATGGCAGAATGTGTGGGCACTGCAATTACAGCACCGGCTACCTCATTCAAATTATTGTTTTTCTGTGTTTTGGTGCCGTAACTAAGCAGAAGCGATCCAAGAAACGAGGCTGCTGGTGTGTGCTGATTACATGTCTGCGGTGCACATGCCCAGAGAGGTATCACATTCCTGCATTCCGCACATGGCAAAAAGCCCCTTAATGAAACTCGCAATAAAATTGGATTGTTATAATCAGATGGGCCCCCTTTTGAATGACGGGGTCGAGATGCCTTTCTCTGCTTTTGATGTAGGATTAATGGCTGATTTCAACAGCTTATAAATGAGGAGGATGAAGATGGAGAGGTAAGAGAGATGGGGGCTAAAAGAAAGATCCTGGAATGTGCCAGCTCTTCCCCTCGTGCTGTGTGATGGCTTGATCACTCTGCAGCTAGGGATGGGCACAAGTGCTCGGAAATGACTCATAATAAAAAAACATAATATTTGCATGCCTTGATTGATTTTTCAATATGTATTGTGAGTTTTTTTTTTTTTTTTACGACGGCGTTTGGCAGATATTTTTATCCATGCATTCAATGTACAGTTTTTATCAGTTCATGCATTCCTTGGAAACCAAAGCCATGGTGTCTGCATTACTAGCACCATGTTCTATTTTTTGTGCCACAGGAAACTTGTGGTTTGATTGGGACACTCTTAAAAAAACTGGTGGTGTGACGCACTGAAATAAACGAGATGAATGAGATGCAATGTACCACTAAAGATGTCTGTCTAATAATTATAGTAATAATAAATGTATTAAATAATATTAATATACACTACTGTTTAAAAATGTTGGTCTGTAGGATTTTTAAAAAGAAATATATACTTTTATTCTGCATGGATGCATTAAATTGATCAAAAATTACAATAAAGACATTTATAATGTTACAAAAGATTTCTGTTTCAAATAAATGCTCTTCTTTTTTAACTTACCGTTCTTCAAAGAATCCTGAAAAAAATAGCATGGTTTCCACAGAAATATTAAGCATAACAACTGTTTTCAACATTGATAATAGTAATAATATATCCGCATATTAGAATGATTTTATTGAAGGATCTTGTGGCACTAGAGACTGGAGTAATGCTGTTGAAAATTCAGCTTTGCCATCACAGGAATAAATTACATTTAAAAATATATTAAAATAGAAAACAAATGTTGTAATAAATTAATAATATTTCACAATAGTACTGTTTTTATTGTGTTTTTGATCAAATAAATGCAGCCTTGGTGAGCATAAAAGACTTATTTAAAAGAAAAAAATCTTACCGACCCCAGACTTTTGAACTGTAGTGTACATTGAAGTGGATAATATCTTAAACTTTTAGATTATTGTTTTTGATTATGCAATTTAGCATTTATTTAAATCCATCTAACTTAGGGTGTTTGCATTAAACTACACATAATTTTATAATAAATGCAACTAACTATCTAAAAGCTATTTTTAAAGCAGCTTGAGCTACTGTTAAACTACTGTAAAATGTATTTCAATCCAGATATTCTGTTATCATTTACATAACCTCACTTTGTTGAAAACTTTTATGACAATTTTCATAGTATCTTGTGTGTTCCGCACAAGAAAAATAGTCAGGTTTGGAATACGATTACTGCATTTTCATTTCTGCCTGAACTATCCCTGTAATTGATTAGCGTCACTACGTTAAGTGACGCTTAGCTACTCCTCAGCTCTTTTACATAGACAAAATAGTTTTTAAAAAGATAATAGTGTGTGATTTATCTGTTGAGTCCTCCAGCAATAGAAATGACCACATCCCTAGCTGCGGCTGGCTCAGATTAGGCCTTGAACATTTCTGATTCTCAGTTATGTCTAGTGCAGACGTCCCCCACGTGTTGCGTTCCACATTGATGTCTAGATCTCTAGATGTTCTGCAATTTTCAGCCGCATGAATGTAACTCAATAGGCCGTCTTTCTGCAGAGCACCAGTGAAGGACAAGCCTTTACAAGGTTCACAGACAGTACATTCGGCCACCCACCTCCCGCTCTGCCAGTCACAGCACCTCCCTGGAGACAGTGCTGTTATGAAAGTCAAACAATTATCAGGACACCCTCTTGGTGACCCTCAGTCCGTGTGTTTCTGAATGTACGCTTGTTTGTGTGAGGGGCGGCCATTAGCAGCAGCTGAGCAGGGGGTGAAACCGCTCAGCTGTTTAAACGGCCCCATGTATGTGTGTTTGCAGATGAATCAGGTGCCGCTGAGAAGATGAAGGTCTAACCCTTCAGAAGTCAGACTCCAAAGCTCATTAAGGTATGAGTTACAAGGAGGAGAACAGAGGGACCTATGTGGCCCTCATAATTAACTCCGCACGAGCCAGATCCTATTATCCCCGCTTCTGCCGTGACCTCGTGACCTCCACACACCATAACTTACAGCAATATGAGCTGTAATCAGCCCCAACGTGTCGTTGTTTAACATTGTGTCAGCCTTACACTTGATAAATACGGTTTAAATGATCTTCTCTATCTCTCTCATGGCCTGTTGGTCTGGTGTTCATGGGTCTGTCTCTGTCGTAGCAGGGTCTTGGGTTTGTGTAGTGGGTGTTCTCTGAGCTGCAGTTTAGGCAGTCCAT